AAATATCCCTACCGTTTTGAAAACATTTGCGGTCTTTTTTGTAGCCACCACACTGCACTGCTCAGGTCCAGGACCAGAGGAGCTGATGACCACTGGGACCTGTACAGCATTTTGCCTCACTGGCAGTTCGTTCTGTGGCCAGGATAATGCAGACCAGGGTCTCAAACTGTGCAGATGAGATGGGTAACAAAGTTTTGCAGTAAATGTTTAGCTGAAGCTCTTTATTTTGAGATTCTTTGGCATAAGATTTCCCCAAAGTCACTCTGAGGCACTGTAAGTTGCCTATTCCATTTATTCCTCACTTCCTCTCCGCTGTTTTAACATTTAGTAAACTCCTCTTTTTCTTCTCAGTTTCAGTTTTCTGTCCAAATGAAAAATATAGAATGAGGAGAGCACTCCATCCTCCAATAGACCTGTCAGCTGTTTGCAGGAATGCTGGCTGCTGGATCTTGGGCACTGACTGCTTGCATAACTGAGATGGAGACAGCTCGGTCTGGCCCTTGCCTGGGTGGTCTGATGTTATCCCTAAGATTGAACTTTCTGGCTAGAAGTATTGGAGCTATTCCTAATGATAGCTGAATCCTGAAATCTCACACCCTCCCTCACAGAGAAGGGCAGAGCTCCCTCCCACAAGGCTTCCCTTCCTTCTCTCCCTCCTTCTGGTAAAGTTGGCCAATTCAACGCATTTTTTTGTACACGAGCATTAATAACTACAAAGTACTACAGCCTGGTAGATATCAACCACAGCCCTTGCCACCAGTCTGTGATAGGGACCTCACACAGATCCAGCACTACAGGATAAAACCTTCTTTTTACCTTGCAGCATATTTCAGAGAGAAGTAGCTTGCTATTCACAAAGGAAAGCATATAAATATCCAGGATCCAGTCACCTGGCTCTGGATCTATGCACATGCTGTGCATTTTAACTTTCTCCCCCAGAAGGTCCTGCAGTGCAAGCACATGGAAATATTTTATGCTAAACACACCTTAAGAACGGGCTTTAGAATTCATGCCTAGTAGGGAACATAGCAGAAGAAAAAAAAGTCTAGATTATTTTGGTCACAGCCTCCATCCATCTATCCATCAGGGAAGGCTAATCACTAATATCACTATTGGTGATTGGTGACTGGTGATAGGTGGGTGGATGGCTGGACTGGATGATCTTGTAGGTCTTTTCCAACCTTGGTGTTTCTGTAATAAGTACAGACAAAAAAATCTTACTTCATCTCTCCTGAAGTAGTGTAGAAGCCAATAAAAATCTTAAATTAGAAAAGAAGATAACAAAAGCAATTTAGCCCCTAGTACAATAGAAAGGGTTTAATTTCCCAAATTCACCATCAATGTACCTGTTGTTATTCTCCAACACTATTCCAATAGGAATAAACCTAGCTCATGTTTGGCACTAGGCAAATCAAACAAGCAAATTTTCGTGACAATATGAAAAATAGAATTGACACACTGACAGTGTTACAGCTGAACCACTACACAGCACATACTGACAAAGACATCAGCATCTTGTAAAAATAATTATCCATCATCTGCAATGCATAATCAGGGAAATCCCTGATTTCAGATAATGATTTCCTCACAAGTGTCTCGGATATCCTGCTATCATAAAGGAAATACTTAGTGTGACTACTGTAAAACAACGTGGTAAGGAAAAGGTCATAAATATGATTACAGAAGCACAGCACGCATTCCTCATCACATTAAAGACAGAAAGCTCGTTCAGAGCAACGGCCCAGCAAAATTGCTGTCCTGCTTGACACATTTCAGAGGATAGAAGACACTTTAATTTCCATTTCAGTTAGCTGAAACATCTACTTGATAAGGAAAACTCATTACTTCTGTATGTTAAAACCTAGCAATTTGTCATCTGAAAAGCATCCATTATTCTAAGGTAAATATTCCAGATCATATTGTCCACATAAATCTACAATATAGCTCTGAATCCTGTTTAGCATTTGACCTTTATGGCATCTTGTTTCAGGAAGTCTCAGAAGATAAGCATATGGTGTGTTATAGTAACTATTCCCTTTTATCAGTCTTTACTCTGGTGTCTTTGTACTAAACTGAATATCCCTCTTATCTTATGATGAGAAACATAAATAAAACCATCATTATTTACCTTGTTATCCAACTGCCTTCTGTAACTCCTGCATTTCTATTTCCTCCCTAAACAAACTATCTTCATTTCTATTTATTTGAATGCATGGCCAACTGGTTCTGGAGCTGGATGTGCTGCTTTAATTTACATAGAAACACGTACAGCCTTTATTACCAATAAGCACATTTGTTACGTTTCTGTCCTTCGTATCCACTTCAACACCAACTCAACCTTTCCATAGAAATTTTGTCATTATACATGTTGCATTTCTTTTAATTTCTTAAAGGTATACTTCATCCAGCCATAGGAGTCTCACTAAATATTTTTTGTCTATCTTTTCTTCTGATAGTAATTTCACTTCATTACCTGGAAAGAAAATGCAGCTCCTCCGTACCTACTACAGTGGAAATGTGTACAAAAGAAATTATTTGATCTCTCTAATACTCCTATTATCCAAGGCTTATTTCTACAGAGCTAGACTATATCTCCATTATGCCAGTAATGTACAATGGCAGAATTAAGAAAATCCAATTCTGGTGGCATCCCAGCACATCTCCCCCTGGCAATCAATACCTTGAGTATTGTGTTCAGTTTTGAACCCCTCACTACAAAAAAAGACATCAAGGTCCTGGAGTGTATCCCTGGGGAAGGGCAATGAAGCTGGTGAGGGGCCTTGAGCAACTGAGGGAGCTGGGATTGTTTAGTCTGGGATTGTTTAGAGTCTCAGGGGAGACCTTATCCTCTCTACAGCACCCTGAAGGGAGGTTGTGGTGAGGTGAGGGTCAGCCTCTTCTCCCATGTAACCAGTACTAGGACTAGAAGGAATGGCCTGAAGTTGTGCCTGGGGAGATTCAGAATGAACATTAGGAAATGCTTCTTCTCCGAGTGAGAGAAGATCCTGGAGGTGTTCAAGAAGCATTTAGATGTTGTACTGAACATAGAAATATTGGTGATAGGTGGATGATCCTAGAGGTCCTTTCCAGCCCTGGTGATTCTGTGATTCTATAACTTGAGCTCATTATACTTGAATGTGTCCTAAAAGCATTTTTCATTAAATACAATTACAAAAGTTACCCCAGGAACTCCTTATTTTCCAGTCCAAGATGGAATACTCTTCCTTTATCTCTCCCACATTCTGGAAACCATGCAGTAAGTCACTATGTAAAGATGAAGTGGATTAACTACAAATTCTTAATGATTTTAGATCAATATTTCTACTGTATACCACTGTGGAGGCATGCCTTAGCATCTCCTCGTTGTAAGCATGATTATGCACTGATAATTTTTGATGATATTATATAAACTATTTTTCAGAAACACAAACCAATAAAATGGAAAACTGCATATTATGAGAACTGAAGATGAAGTTCATACCAGGTAACTATGAAACCACATTAGTAGGACATTATCTTCCACCTCCCATCTTATAAAACCTTGTTTACTTTATGAGGATCATTATGAAGTTCCCACTTGCTGTTTCAGAAGTGACTAAAGAGGACTGACAAGCCAACTGATATAACCACAGACAGTCTTGTTTTCTAAAGACGTATGTTAAACTTCCTTGTTCAAGGCTCTTCAGCTACTTACACTTAAAAATTTCCCTTGAACATAGTCATTTCAGCAGCCAATTGACTTAATAAATAAAATTTACTACAGACAGCAGGATATAGAAGTACACTATAAAGCTTGGATAGTAGAAGCAATTCTCACAAGAAGTAGAATGGAAAACAACCTTGCCAGCTGCTCCTGGAAGAAGGTACTGTATTAGAGTACACCTACCCCCAAGACACAGCTGGGTACAACAGAGACAGTCAAGTGCACTGAACAAGCATGTAGAAGTTCTTGCCTTTGGAAAATAAGCAGCCCGCAGTAGTAGTAATATTTTCAATAGTCATCTCTTTCACTACCCTCCACCACATCCCTCAACCAATAGTCCTAATCTTGCCATTAACCATTACCAATACAATCTGGGGGATGAAAAGATTGAGTACAGCCCTTTCAGAAAAGACCTGCAGGCACTGGTGCATAGGAAGCTGGACATGAGCCAGCAATGTGCCCTCACAGCCCAGAAAGCCAACCATATCCTAGGCTGCATCAAAAGAAGTGTGGCCAGCAGGATGAGGGAGGAGATCCTGGCACTCTGCTCTGCACTGGTGAGGCTTCACCTAGAGTACTGCATCAAGATGTGGAGTCCTCAGTGCACGAGAGACATAAACATGTTGGAGCACATCCAGAGGAGCGTCACAAAAACGATCCAAGGGATGGAACACATCTCCTGTGAAGACAGGCTAAGAGAACTGGGACTTAAGCAAGGAGAAGTCTCCAAGGTGACCTGAGGGCAGCCTTTCAGTGTCTAAAGGGGACCTGCAGGAAAGAAAGGGACAGACTCTTTAGCAGGGTCTGTGGTGACAGAATAAGGGGAAATGGCTTCAAGATCAAAGAGGGTAGATTTAGGTTGGATATATAGAAAATGTCTTATGCAGCGAGGGTGGTGAGGCACTGGAACAGATTGTCCAGAAATGTGGTTGATGCCCCATCCCTGGAGATTTTCAAGGCAAGGGTTGATCAGGCCCTGGACAACCTGATCTGTCTGTGCATGTCCCTGGCACGTTCATTGCAGGAAAGTAGGGTAGATGATCTTAAAATGTCCCAACTCCAAGGATTCTAGGATTTCACAATTTTCTAATCCTCTGCTCAATTTCTCTTTCTTCTATAAAAGGATTTTAGCAGTGTTCTTGTAATTTCACAGAAAATCAAAATTCTGGTCACTGTAAACACTTCAAAATAACAATATGACAGAAATAAATTTTTAAAATTTACTTTTTCCAACACAACTTGGCCCAGCTCAGTGCTGACACAGAGGCCTGTCACAGAGATTCTACTGCTTATGTACCTGCTGTGTAAGGAGACTGATGTGGCTTGGTGGGGAATACTGACAAGCTGATTGTTTTTCTGCCAGCTGCTGCAGTTCTGCTGCTACCATACTGGGGCTGTAACGTTTGCCCAGGGAAGGAGCATCTTCTGTACCTTTGTTCATCATGGCAGAACTCACACGCTGCCCACTTGGACTGCGGTGGCGCATACCTACAAAAAAAAAAAATCAACAAAATATTCAGTCATACTTCAGTCATACTTGGTGAGCAGTATCACAGAATCACAGAATGGTTTGAGTTGGAAGGGACCGTAAAGATCACCTAGTCCCAACCTCCATCCATCAGAGCAGATGCCTTCCAGAGATCAGGTTGTTCAAGGTCTCATTCTTGAACACTTCCAGGGAAGGGACATCCGTAGTCTCTCTGAGCAATCTGTTCCAGTGCCTAACCACCTTCACAGTAAAGAATTTCTTCCTTATATTTAATCTAAATCTATCCTATTTCCTTTAAAACCATTCCCCTTTATTTTATCTTACAAATCCTGGTAAAGAATTTACCCCCATCTTTCTTGCAGGCTCCCATTAGGTACTGGAAGGCTACTATGAGGTCTCTTTAGAGACCTTTAAGCTGAACAACCCCTACCCTCAGAGTCCCCCTTCAGAGAAAAGCTGTTTTGGCTCTGATAATTTTTATGGTCTTCCTCTGGATCCAGTCTAATAGTATGTCTGACTCCCTCAGTCGGCTGTTCACACAGATTCAAAAGCAGGTACAACACCTCCTGCGGGTTCTAGGGAGAATACAGCCTTCTATTCTGTGTAGGTTTTCTCTAGATGTGCTTTAATCAATGCTGAACTCACATTCTCTTCAACATAATGTATTTAATAGCACATAGTGCCAGAGAATTTTGGCTACCTGTTGCACATGTTAAATCTATAATGATTTTCCTTCGAAACAAATGGATTCCTTTAAATAAGCAATGGAATTGGGAAGTCAGATTTATTTTAATGCTAGAAAGTTTGTCACTATAAATACAGCAACCCTAGTGAAAACGTGCTGTTGCAGAACTCAAAGCAAACATATAGTACCATTTCAAAGAAAAAACACGTTACCAGGACCATGGCCGTAAGCTTGCGTATGGTTCCCAAAATATCTGAACAGATTACCATCTGTGTCCATAAATTTCTAGTTTCTTCTACCTTTCAAAATCCTAACAATCTAATGTTAAATTGCTTAACTATGTGCTATCCCAGAACAGTAAAGGAGAAGTGTCTGAATCCACTTAGATCTTACATTTTTTGTGATCTTGACATACCTTTAAGCATTCAACAATTGTGAAGTTTGACTAAGAGACTCCTCTTCTAAAGAAAAATGAGGAACTAAGAACTGCACATAGACTGAGGAAGGATTTCTGCTAACTGAAACTACACTGAAATCACTAAAGATAAACAAAAAATAGTAATACAAACAGGAAAAAATATACAATACTTTATTTCCCAGCTTTTCAAAACAAGTTCAATTCCCCATTCATCTTCTCAGTAAAAGGACATTTTTTTTTACGAACAAGTGTGTGCTTCACGCACTCCTCTTCTCCATGAGAAATTTAGCACCATTTGAACAAGACTCAATTCCAGAAATGTAAAATTCCCACCTATTCCAGAACACAGATTACAGAATCTTTATACAGCACCAGCCAGTCTTTATGCAACACAGAACACTCACCTGCTTTTGCAGAGGTTGATCGGGACAGTCTTTGGCTGTAGATCTGAGCAGCTCTCTGAAAAGATGAGAGTGGGCCAATGGTGTAGCTACCAGAACAACGATGTAACCCTGCAAGGCTAGAAGCCTCACTGGACATTGGGTTTGTGAAGACAGAAGAGCAGTCAGTGGCTGTGCTCTGGCTCTGGGACAAAGGTAGAGAAGATGAGGAATGAATTATCCTTAGACCACTTGGAGGAGTCGGCAATGAACAGTGACCAGGCACCTGTGGATTTCCAGAGACTGCAGGTTGAGATGGTAACTGGGAACTGGTACTTCTCCGGAACGTGGCACCAGAAGCAGAGGAAGCAGCACTAGGAGGGCAGCACCGAGGTAATTTCACTTCAGCATTTAAGGAGAAGGTGGATCTTTCTGGATCTACAAAAAGAAAGTGAGTACACTACATTAGAGAAGCTGCTTTTGATGTCCTTCAGATGATAACAACAAACTCGAGATACCTCTGTTCATAGACTCACTGAAGACAAAGCGACTTCATCTATAAGTAAAAACAGTGGCAGCTCTATGTGATAAACATCTTCTTTCAAAGCTTGTCATATCTAGATTTTTCCCCACAGAAGAGCAGCTAACTCACTCATACTGCTCACCCTACAGTACCTCTTGGGTTTAAAAGAAAAAGATGCAGAATGTTTCCCAAAACTGAGCATTCAAATACTTCAGTTTGTACCCACAGATTCTAACACTTGTATTTATTAAAAACAGCATACACATTCATTTCTTATTTTGATGATGAATGAAGTCAGTTCACTCACAGGTTGATTTCACTTCTTTGGGTTTACAGTCTCTTACTCTTCCTTCTACAGGCAGATCTGCAACTGAACCTTTGGGTTGATCACCTTTTATTTTTTTCATCACCTCAAGGTGGTCTGTAACAATTAGGAATTAGGAGTTAGAAGATGGAACAGGACTGCAGAATTAAAACCTTGTTATAATGGACCTTCCTGCTAATATTGTAGACCATGAAACAATATTGATCATAATTGTACTGTCACATACAGCAACAAGGATGACTAGAATTGCACAGCTGATACTGCACTTTCTTCTAGGGAATACTTAATTAGACTCAAATGTGAAGACTCCACCCTCCTTTCACAATGATCACTGTAGGTAGCACCATTGAATTGGTCTTGGTTACTGTCATTTCTTATTTTGATTACAGAATTTCACATTTCTAATTTCAGTATCTTCAAATTTCCACATTCTGATATTAGTCGCAAGTCATCATATCTAGAGTTCCTTATAAAGGCTAGTCCCATGCCATACCACATCACTGAAAGAAGTTAGGAGTGCACTAACTCTAGTCTTCACAAAAAAAGAAAAGAAACACAACCTCCAGAAATTTGAATAACATTCTGGATGGTCTTTTCTCTTTCTACAGACTCAAGTGAAATTGGATTAGTCTGGGCAACATAATCTCAAAATTGCCTGCAACACTTACCCTCCTGAGGCTGATTCTCTGACTGGTTACTGGTGTTCCTGGGTTTTGTGGTCCCGGAGTTTGTTCCTAGGAAGACACTTGCTGACTTACTTTTTTGTGTGTAAAATGTCAGCACTTCCTCCAAGTCTCTCTCACTACAATAAGGAGAGAAGAAAGGACCTAAATGAAGACTTTAAACTTTTCTGTCTTTATGTAACAATCAAGGAATAAAGAGGGTGAAGAGGAAAGTGGGCAAAGAGTGAGGCCACACAAGTTGTTTGCATAGCACTGCAAGGTAAGAGTGGAAGGAAAGGAACATGCCTTGGTTAAATCAGTTTCTCGCTAAAACGCCATTCTTTTATGCAGCAGAAAATTCAAGGGACCCGGGAATAATCATAGAATAAATAAATAGCAAACAAAAATGCCAAACGTGCTGAGGAAGATTAGCTCAACAGGAATGATCCAATTTTTAGCTCAACTGGTGAATCTTTCTCAGGTGCTCTTTAGGACAAGCAGCTATCATGTTCATGAGAGAATTCATCTCACCCTGTTTTAAAGCCATCATTAACTTCAGTGCAAAGGGGGGGAGTGGAAAAGGAAAGAGGGAGGAGCTTGTTAATTAGCCAAAACCACAAGACAAACAAGCAGAAGAGTCACAGTATTTCTGTGAATCTCACAACCTTGCATAGGTTTCTCTTTTGTTATTTTCTAGGCAAGAATAGAGTTTAACTACCCGTGTCATAAGCCTCTGTTGGTCCCGAGCCAGTGTTCAACTACTTAGTTGTGCAAGCTGCAACTTTGAAAAATACATATATACACACACTATGTTTTCCTTTTGCTGTTGCCTCAGCATTAGTGAGTACACAGAACACAAAATTAAGTAGTGCCAGAAACACTTCAAAAAATATAACAGGCATATCAGTTCACATAGCAGCACTTATAATCCTTCAAAGTGTCCTCTACACATCAAACTTATACTAATCTTAGGTAGCCTGAGCTTTGGTAAAAGCAATGTCTAAAAACTGGCCCCAGTGGAAAAACAATTCACTGTTGTCTTCAGAGCATGCTGCAAAGGTTAACTTCTCCCCAAAAGCAGTAAGAATAAAGTAAAGAGAAAATGTAAGAGTGAAGAATTTCTGGTGGAGAGATGCCTTCAGATTTAAGTGAATTTACCAGCACATGTATTTAATTTTATGCTGCAATGAGGATGTTTACAAGCAATAGTTGCAGCATGTGTATAACTAAACACAATACACCCATGTAAATATTGAAGTTAGAGTGAATGGGACAATTTCAATTGCACAGAAACATTTATTATCTATCATCTCCAGGGCTGCACTCACTGTGCTGTAGAACAAACGCTCAAAGTGAAGAACTGTTCCCTTTTCATGGCTGCAGTTTGCTGATAACAAGGTTCAAGCATAGATCAACGCAGTGCCAGCTATCAGAGTTCCCAAACATACCTAATGCTGCCTAGGAAGATGAAAAATTATCTCTAAGAACTGTTCTTTCTCACTTGGGAAGATGGTCAGCAAAAATCTCCAGCCTCAGTCTAGACTCTGCATCAGGCCACAAAGGCTTGACAGCCAGTAACATGAAAACTAGAAGAGTATATAGTTCTATAGCCCTAACCAGTCATCTCTTTTAGCATTTTTGGCAAAAAGGAAAATGTCCTTGGAGGCAACAGCCATTTTTGAGACCAGAGATGTCAGAATCAAGAACATACCACAGGCCTATGTAACCTGCATTTCTGGTGACAGGAGTAGATTGCTATGATAGATGGCAGTCACATCTCAACTCTTGTTCTCTTCTGGAACAATATTCATCTGAAAGGCAGCAAGTTGGTTGGGATTTTCTTTTTTTTTTTTTTCTTTTTTGAGCCTGTAAATTTGTTGTGGTAATGACTCCAATTTTTTCCGCAGAATAAATATCAGAGAGTCACAGAATGGCACAGGTTGAAAGAGACTTCAAAGACCATCTAGAATTCTAGCACCCTGCTGTGGGCACAGCTGCCCCCAGCCAGACAGGTTGCCCAGGGCCACATCCAACCTGGCCTTGAACGCCTCCAGGGATGGGACACTCACACCTTCTGCAGACAACCTGCTCCAGGGCCTCACCTCCTGACATGTAACCTAAATCTCCCCTTTTATTTAAACACTATTCTTTCTTGTTCTGTCACTATCAGACTGTGTAAAAAGTCCATCTCCCTCCTGTTTTTAAGTTCATTTTAAGTACTGGAAGGCTGCAATGGGGTCTCTCAGGAGCCTTCTTCCAAACTGAACAAGCCTTGCTCCCTCAGCCTGTCTTTGTAAGAGAGGTGCTCCAGCCCTCTGAGATTGTGACTCCTGAATTTACCTGAGAAGACTTACGTATCACTTACTACAGATCAGCTACTAAAAAATGCTCTCCAGAGGAAAAGAAAAAGCAATGTAATAACTTAAATACTAAAAATGATAGAAGAAGTAATTGTCAACTTTATAACAAAAAACTGAAGTGCATTAAAAAGGCAGATGAACTCTACCTGTCCAGATAGTAACAGAAGTCCCTGCCAATATAAGCATATAACATACAGGCTAACAAAAATAAGCCAAAGGAATCAAATTTTGTGCTCAAGAATCAGAGGCTTAAGGAAGTAATTCTGGGTCACTGAACAATTTCAGACCACTCGACAGTCAGAGGGGCTATAATACCATTGTTTTTCCACACAGTACTACAGGCCATGAAGAATATATATCTATTTTCACAATAAATTTTCCAGCAGACTAGTCTAAATCAGTCAGATCAAGTTCTGAATATACACAGGAAAAGCTGTATTTTCTCTCATTAAAGAAACTGCTTGCACTGAACTGCCTTAGCAACCCAAAAGGCTAGGGTGAAGACAGTCTAACCCCCTTCCTTCCTCTTCTCAGGCAGTATCATCATGGAGGGATCAGGAAGACAAGTAGAAAGCATGTAAGTTGGCTTCTAGGAGCAGAAACTTGAGAGACAGACAATTGTTCAACCACAGCAATTCAAGGCCATCTGAGAAGCAGCTCTAATTTCATTCTCCTTCCAAGGGACTCTTAGCGTTACAGGAAAGTAGACCACAAGGATCATCAGCATTAGGTTGGAATTTACTGAGATCAGAGCAACCACTGCTGTCCTGAGGATCTACTCAATTGTCAAAACATTTATTGTATGTCCTTCTCTACACACCAGATGCTGACTCTACAAGTATTTGCATGTTGGGAGTGAGAAAAGAGAAATCAAAGTTCTCTGTCCATAAGGTGGAGCAGCCACTAAAATCAGTAAAGGTATCTTAGAGCCACAGTCCCATCAGGGCTGAGAGATCATCTACCAAATGGAATAAAATCTGTTCCTACCTTGCTCTGGTAATAAAGTTCTGAAAACCTTCAGGATTCACTCCCTCCTCTTCCTCTTCCTGCTTCTTTTTTGATCGCTTCTGAATCATCTGTTCTGTTTCCTGTGAATAAGCAGCATTAGTCTCTCTAGGAAGTTACTCTGTTCTGTGGCATAGCTGCCATGCAGAGAAGACAAAATGTATTTCCTTGAGATCTAAGAAAAAAATAGCAACTCCAAAGTTAAATATATTTATAATTTGGTTCTGTGTGCAGCCCCAGAGACAGCATGCTTAAATGTACACTAATGTACAGTATGTACATAATGTACTGAATGTACACTAAACTCATTCATCTGCTTGACATAGCTTTTTAGAATTGACTTGCTGAAACGATGCGAAAGCTTAAAAAACACATGCTCCTGCTTCAAATATATCCTATGCCAGGACATGAGACAGTATGGAGAGGAAATACATCGGTCTTTGCAGATATTAGATCTCCCTTCTACTTTTTCTGTCACAGTTTTTCATAATAATTTTTATTTGAGCATCTGTCCCATAAGGAGATACTCAGAAAGGCAGAATAACAGAATGTAAAATTATATTGCAGAAACTCAGTGAAGAACATTGCAGAGAACATCCATATTCTGTATTGTAAACTAAGAGTTCTAGAGTTAAATTATTTCATCCTGCAGTAAATTGCTGAGGTCTTAGCTACATACAAATAATAATCTCCTATAGCAAAAGCAAAGAAGTAGAACAGTACAACCTGTGGCAAATACATACTTATACACTAGAATATGCTGTAATAAAAGATGATAAACCTTTGTTTGTGAGAATGTGAGAAAGCTATCAGTTATGAATTATATTTTACACTGGAAGTTATTGACATTAGAACTTGTACTGATACAAACACTTGTGTTAATTCAAAACAAACTGAAATTCCAATATCAACATATAAACTTTATTCAACCAGACTTTACCTCCATTTCCTACTGCTACTCCAAGTTCTCCTAAGACAAAAGGATCAGATACATCTTGTGAAAGATAATTCAAGAGAGAGGGAGAAAAAGCTTTTCTGGGCTGCCTCTCCTCTTCACTATGTAAGTACAAGTCTTGACAATATGTGATCTGTTATATAGTTTGCTGGAGGCAGTGTTTTTTTCTTCTGTGCAATTACAGAAGATATATAATAACTGGTAAGAGCCCCCTGCTAAATCTGAAGTTACAAGCGAGTGAAAGAAGTCTGTATGTCGAAATTAGACATCAAAAGCCTTGTAGCCTGGCAGTCTCACAAAAGCTTAAGTGTCTATGCTCTAAAACCTCTAGTGATCTGTTTACACTATGTTTTAACTAGGAAAATATGTTTACATATTGACTTATTTTCAGTTACGCAGCTTTTTTTTTTGTGAATTTACTTTTGAGAGGAAAATCCTAATGTTTGAATACAATTTGAGTGGAAATTATATCCAAGCAGTTGTGTTTTTCAGTCACCACAGAACCACCCGAGTGTACTGCAGTTCTCCTAGCACAGTAATTCACTGAGCATTAGGTATGCACGACACTCCCTGGAGCAGATTTGTTTAACACCAACCTTGCTTTGACAGATCAAGTTACCAGATGTCAGTTCTGACAAGGTACTGTAAGTGAGCATCTACTAACAAGGAGGAGCTTGGAGGCCTGTGTGCACAGCAACCTCTGAAAGCAAAATTCAAACTACCCTTGTTACAATACTGAAGAAATGCTAGGAAGAAATACAAGGGAAAGGAAGCTGTATTTACAAAACAAAATTATCAAGAAATCACTGTGCTAAGAGCAGTACATTCTAAATCTAAAGAGGAGAAAATTATTTACATTTGGACTTCTGTCACTGGGCATGTAGAGTTCTATACTATAGATGGTTAGCATTCCCTCAGTATACCAAATGAATGCTAAAATACATTTCACATACTGTTCTATATAAAAATTATTTATCTCTATAGAAACATAATGAAAACAGGGAGAAATGGGAAGAGGCCTTACAAAGCATTAAAATCAAAGACAGAACAAAGAAATAGTGAACTACCGGTTAAATTCTGTGGTTTTTTTTCTATGCACATTCTTACAGGACTGCACATATTACATAGTAATGCTGTTGTCCATCTGACAATTTGGATAAATAAACTACCATTACTTGATGTGCAACTGCAAACAGGACTGAGTAAGTTAAAGAACAGAGCCCTTCAAATAACCTTCTGTTTGACTATGACAGTAACCAACAAAAGATATATTACAGGAAAACAACAGAAATCAAATGAACTGTGCTAGTTGTGATTTCTTACGCAAGTTAGATGCACAACATATACATTTAAACAAAAGGCATTTCTGAGGGTTCCTCAATTTTAGAAGTCATTAATAAATTGGTAGGTATATAGCAAAGGGTGTCTCATGCCTACTTCCTGACCTATAATAAGCACAGCAGATGGTGCTGTTAGAACTGAAGGAGTTTAGATGCACTGGATATCCTGCTCTGGTTTTTGATAGAATATATTAACAAGATCCACTGTGGTGGCACAGAAGTAACAAAGCCTGAAGGTTCTGAGGTAAACTAAATACCTTAGCCCTCTGCTGAGTAGAATAAGCTACCAGAAGAAGAATTAATTCATCACCTTGTTATAACAGATTATGAACTCGCCCAACTGGTGAGCCAGGATACGACGACGATCATTTAGTCTTAAATGACGGCTGGGAAGCAGCATCCTCAAGGACTTCTGAAGATTGCTGGCAGCTCGCTTCAGAAAGTGTACTACGAGCTCCTGCAAGCAAGAAAGATGGAGTTAAGAAGGGATCATCTGAAAGATGTGGAGAAAAGGGAACAGAGGTACTACAGTAGATTCTGACTGGCAAAATCTAAAGGTACTGTCAGTTGTCAGTGCATTTTCTCAGGACAAGATCATTTTGTAATATGCATTTTTAATACAGCCCTACAAATCCTAGACTCTGAAGAAGGATGTCATGCCTTGTCTGAGGACAGACAGAACTGAGAACACTTGGTGAGCGTTTGACAATGAAAAAAAAAAAAAGCACAAAGCAGCAACAACATCAAACAACTTATAATGTCCAATACCTTTGGAGAACATCTCCAAAACACAAACAGTAGCATGTTAAAGATGGCTGGTGACAAAGGGCACATGTTAGCATAAAACCATCTCAGTATTATCACAATGAAGGGAATCTTGGTCAGATATCTCCACTACAGTGATGTAACCCTATTTCTTCACTTCTCATATGTGTACATTACCATCACAGCTTCTCCATAGCAGGGCTTGTCTTTTGTTATCTTGTATTCCAATATTATAGTAAAATAAGTTTTCCTCCATAGATTGTTGCCGCTGCTCTTTTCCTCCCTTCCTTCCTTCCTTCCTATTTCTGAGGGACTGGGGTGGGGGGGGAGGGCAGAGGCCTGTCGCCCCTGTCACGGGCATAGATTGATCTGGTCAACTCTGTGACAGGGCTACATCTACAGTCATGTAATTCCAGTCCCACAACCAAGCAGGATCAATGTCTGCATCCACCCCCCCAGTGGAAGAAACATATGAAAAGACAAATCCTAAGACATGGTGCATCCTGTGAGTGTTTTGAACCCTTTCTGTGTTGCTTTGGGCAAGGAGCACTGCTAATGCATAAATGAGCAGCCTCACCTACAAGCTATTGGATTCCACAGTTCGTCTCCCACTGCCACTACTCCAGACTGGTTTGATCTGTTATTTTAAATATTGATTCTTACAGGATAGCAGACAAAGTGACTCTTAAAAACCCAGTTTTAATTTCTCTTTGAGAAGAACAGGAGTAACATCTTCCACTGAGTTTAACTCATTACTCCTGACACACAGTTCAGTTTTATCTCTGAACTGTACTGGCTCTTTCCCTGAAACACACATTCAGCAAGGACATATTTGTTTGCAGAAAGCTAAAGAACCTACTCAACAGTGCTCTGGTAGGGAGGTATTATGAGGGAATCTGAGCTCATTGCAATATTTAGAACACATATACATTAAACACAGGACTTTAACATACTGCCTAGAGAAACATATCATACGATTTTAAAAGAAAAAGAATACAAACTAAACACATCCCCCCCAAAACACCTATGCTAGATGGTATCTTTCTTTTCTCTGTCTCTTACTTTTTTTTCCCACAACCTGAATACATGAAATACACTCCTAAGTACAGATGGCTGCAATGAGTAAAACATTACAGAAGTGGAAAAAGCTTAGCAGGGTACCTGCTCTGTTTGAGTGGATATATATATACTTTTTTGTAATGCAGTAGTAGCATGAATTAGATACTGCTAAATAATCCTAAGGAATCTTAGAGGAGTTCTAAAGCAGTTACGGTCAGAGCTGAGAGATCCAGTGAAGAATCAGGGAAAAATCTGGGCAGCTCAAATGTCAACCGCACTTTAGTCATCTAGCATCTACTCTGACATTGCTCAGGTGTCAGCCAACATTCCTATCTTGTCTGTATGTTAAAATATAGAACTGACAACCAGACAAAGATAAGTATAATCTTAGAATCATAAAATGCTAAGAGTTGGAAGGGACCTCAAGGCCATCTAGTCCAACACTCCAGGGATGTGCACAGATAGATCAGGTTGTCCAGCGCCTGTCCAGCCTTGTCTAGAAAACATCCAGAGGTGAGGCATCCACCACAACACTAGGAAACATGTTCCAGTGCCTCACCACCCTCACTGTAAAATATTTTTTCCTCCTACCTAATTAAATCTATTCTCCGTGTTCTATCACCACAGTCACACAGTCTGTCCCCTTCTTTCCTGTTGTTCCCCTTTAGATTCTGACAGGCTGCTTCTCTAGGCTGAACAGCCCCAGCTTCCTCAGCCTGTCCTCACAGGAGAGGACCTTGGACCATTTTTGTGGCCCTTCTCTGGATGCGCTCCAACACGTTTATGCCTCTCACGTTTATGCCACTGAGGATTCCACATCTGGATGCAGTACTCCAAGTGAGGCCTCACCAGCCCAGAGCAGAGGGGCAGGCTTGCCTCCCTCACCCTGCTGATCACAAGGTACTTTTGAACCACAGTTCTTCCAAGGATTGGAACTAGTCTCAAAACTCAGGACAGATTTTAGCTGGGCTTCTCTAAGCTAACACAAAGCTTCTTACCATTTGCTCATCTTCTTTTGCAGCCCAGGCAGCATTCTGGAACTGGTCACCAGCATCCTTCATCAGTCGCAGCTGAACATGCTGTAGATAGGCAGAGAAAGCCCTACGGGCCTGCACTTTGCTGTGGACCAAGAGAATCACAGTCAGCTACTCAGAGTAGCAGTGGAAAGAATTACAGGGGAGTATATTCAGCAAGGACCTTGCAGGTGCAAAAACATTTACACTTAAAGGAAAGAGAATCACTCCACCCCACCAGTATTTCCAAGGAGACCTTCAGTTCACAAAGATAGAGTGCATAGTTTCACAGATTCAAGAGACAGCAGATGCCCTCTGATTTCTTAAACAACTTCAAAAAATTGAATCGTCTTCTTGCCTTTTCACAGCCATTGCAACTCTCTTCCAAAAGTCACAAACACCAGTAAAACTGTATTTTTAAGCCCAGTTCGAGGCTCTCCTGGACCTTCATCTTCACAAGCATTTTGAACACAACAACAGACCATAAATTAAAGAGCTTAGCATCACTGCCAGAATTCTAACAAAGGCCATGCAATTCCCATTGGAAGTGACAGAATTAAATCTATGAAAGTAAGCTTTTCCCCTGCTGATCCAAGGACAAAGGCCAGATTTCATTGAGCAAGGCACCACTGACTAAATAATAAACATCAGCACAATCTGCTGTGCAGCTGGCTGAGCATCTTGGGAAGCTGTGAGCACAAACTGAGGAGAAGACCAGGGTGAGACAAGGAGGGACATTGATTATTTTTCCTTCACAATAGCAGTCACTTTAGCATATGCGTCTGTTGCAAGAAAAATTGCTGAAAACTTTACTTTTTCTGTTCAGTGTCATTTTGGCCTAAACTCTCTCCTCCAGCCTGTTCCCTCAGTCTCTTCTTCGTAGTTTCCTCCAGTGCCACCATAAACTGTCACTTGCACTGTCAAGCACAGTTTCTCCTTTCATTTTGTAAAAACGGCTTTAGTGTCAGTGACTGATCCCCCTTCTATTACAGGCAACGTCAATCATTTCTAAAAAATAATCACATTTCATCTTAAAAAAGAAAAAATAATAATCTCACAATCGTGAGGTTTTTCACATCACTACTTTTCTGAAATGGTATTCCAGATCTCACTGTTTCAATAATTAGGAACCTTCTATTACTGTGCAGCCTAGCTTCATTCATGGACAGTTTTGATCTGCTCTTTCTTTCTCCAGCATTATCCTATGGGCTGGTTTCTTTTGGATGAACAGGCCTGGTTTCTTTTGGATGAAAACGTCATTACTTCAGCTCTCTGGCCTGTTGACCCCACAGCAAAGCTTTTATCAATGACAGATCAGATGAGGCCAAGCCCAGCACAACCCTGGAACATGAGGTCACTACAAGCCTTACACACTTCTGTGGGGGGAAATCCCAACATCATTGGGTGCTGAGCAAGATTCTGCCATGATCAGCAGACAGAGCTGACATTCTTGGCAGAAGTCAGTTCTATATATAGGTAGATGACATTATTGCTATACCCATCCTCAAAAACATTTCAGAATCTTTTGTTATAACAGCAAATGTTCTTGCCAGAAGAGAACCTCAAAACAATTCCCGAATTCATTTGATAATTCATAAATCCTCCCAGAAATTAATCTGAGAAGGCAGATACGAGCAGTATATTTTTTCTTCTACCTTTGGACAATTTCCACACAACACAATGTTTCTTATATCTGTGTAGGAGGGTTTTTCATTTTCTAGATGTATGAGCACTTCTTGTTCTTCTTAACCATCTGCAAATAGTCACTTTTATCAACTGAATTTAAGGGGAAGATCACTCCTCTAAACATCTCATAGGACCCAGACTGTTATTTTTCTATACAATTTCCTCCAGTACCACCACTCTTTTTCAAGCGGCTGAGTCATCCATCTGAACAATCTGCTCCACAGTCATGCTCAGCAGCAGGCAATAAGACGTGTCAGTAACTTATTGCTCTCAAATGACCTTTTGTCTTGCTCTCAGGAGGTGCAGACTCTGAACATCATAGTCTGCTGTTAGAGATAAAAATTTCATCATCCAAAACATAAGCACAACAAAGAGAGAACTATATTTTTATGGAGAGCTAGCACTGAGGTGTCCTTTCCCAATCTTCCTTGAATAGCTTAACAAATAAAAACTGCACTTTCTTTGGAAATGCAGAGAATGAAAAGACATTTTACAATTCAGCAGCAAGCATCTTGTAATTAAGACAAAAGCATTTTAGAAGCCCAAGTTGACTAAAAGTATAACTTATGTCATCATATTACAGAACAGCAGTGGATGCTACAGTTCATGCTTTCCAGTAACTTATGTCATCATATTACAGAACAGCAGTGGATGCTACAGTTCATGCTTTCCAGTAATCAAACAGGTCAGACATTTAGGTAAACCGACAGTTTTTGCAACCATCTCCTTTCTGTGTCAACTATTTACTAAGACAGTTACACAGCCAAAAATCCAGGCCCTTCAACCACAGTCTCCTCTAATCTCCTCACTCTCATTCATAGTGGGGCAAGTAAGTCTATATTCTCAAAATTTTGATAGTAGCTGACAGTCAAACTCAAAGCAATATACAGAAATCTCTCACCTTAGATTTCCATTTTTTTTAAGAATCTGCAGCAAGTTAAACTGAGACTTTGAGTCTGTCTTTTCAAGAAATGGCCCTCCTTCATTTCTTGTTTTCTTGTCAAGTTTTTCTGTCAATATCTCCTTACTAGAAGTTTTCTCCAGGTCAGAGAGCTTTGGCTTGCTTTTCAATTGCCTGTTTGAAAGGGAGCCAAGAGTTCCACTTTGTTCTTCATTTTCATCTGCCACCCCCTCTTCCTCTTCACCTTCTGTGTCCGTGAGGGACAACTTTGTTGGCTGTGATGTCCCTGTAGAGAAGAAATAATCTATTCTGTGATCAAGCCATGGGCACTGTCCTACAATAAATATGCTTAGGTTTATTCCTGAACACTTCTGCCGGAAGGAGAAAACGCCATTTTAGAACAGCATGATAACTACTGCTGCCCTTTATTATTCCTTATGGCTTTCCATTTAAGTATCAAACAGCTACAGATCTTAACTTCACAAAATGAGAAATAAAAGAAAGGTAGTTTCCTATGCTCCATCCTGACTTTTTGGCAGGCCTTGAGTTCGCATATATGATCAACTTCTGGATTTTTGTGTATCACAAAAACCAAAGCTAAAAAATCTTAACTTTAACGTGTGCCAGTAAAGATCACATATTTTAATATAGCTCCACAAGTCATCACGTAACACACAGCCTCTTCCATGGCAATCAGAATCATGTCGCTACTAGAAAGTTAGATAAAGGCATAAGGAACAGTCACTTATAAAGATCATTCCCCTCTGTATCCTTTTAAGTTTTTCTCACACTGGCTTAAATAAAAAGCATTTCTCTCTTTTCAAATGCTTAGAGGTGGTTCAAGTGTAGCAAATCTAGTCTGGAAGGTCCCTAGTTTTCATCTTTCTCTGAACAGCTGGAGGATTATGGAGACCCATATATAGTGTAAAGTGCAACTACAAGCTAATGTTCAAGAAAATATTGATCACCTTTAATCAGATATGTAGAGATATTAATAGTGGGAATGGAATTCTTAGAATTATAAAATGGCTGGAGTTGAAAGGAACCTTTAAAGGTCATCTAGCTCCAAAATTCCAACATGGCAGGGATACCTGCAACTAAATGAAGTTGCTCAAACTCCCATCCAGCCTGACCTCCAGCATGTCCAGGGAAGGGGCATCCACAACATGTGAGCAACCTGTTCCAGTTTCTAACCACCCTCATGGTAAGGAATTTCATCATTGTATTTAATCTAAACTTACCTGCTCTTAGTTTAAAACCATTATCCCTTGTCCTGTCACAACACAGCGTGGTTAAAAGTCTCTCCTCATCTTTTTATACGTCTCCTTAGTAATTGAAAGGCCCTATTAAAGTCTCCTTGGAGCCTTCTCTCCTGTAGGCTGAACAACTGCAACTCTGTCAGCCTCTCTTCACAGGAGATCTGTCACACCCCTCTGATGAATTTCACAACCTTAACCATTTTCTTGACACTAAGAAGGCAGGAAGCCCAGAAGAATAATGAAGTGAAAATTATTAACTCACGAAATAAAAACATCAACCCCTGCATTCCCCTAGGGACTGCAATAGCTAGAACAACCAACCCCATCCACACAGACTTCAAATAAGAAAATCTCATGGTTTTTGGGACTTGATATTCATCTAACATTCTCACTGTGCATACCTGATAACCTTGTTTGTGCTGCTCTAGCTTTGGTACGACATCGCCGGTGCTTCCTTAACTCCAGTGAAACAAGCTTTCTCTCATAAAAGAGAGAATGAGAGTCTACAGCTTCCAGATTCATATCCGGCCTCCCATTAAGATCTTGTCTGGAAAGTATAACAGAGAGACATACTTAAATGCTCTTTATATTTCTCTCTCTGATGGTACAAAGAAACTTGGCAGATTAAATTTCTTCAATAAATGGTTTTCTTCACACGGAGCAAAAACAATTACTATCAGTCCAGATTTGCTCCATTTAAAGCTTACAAAAGTTCAGAGCAAATCTTTCAAGTACTTCACTGCATTCACTTAATGAAATTGGTTATGTAAGGTGTGAGCAACACAATTCTTTCCTATTTTGATTGGTTTGGGGTCAAATGGGTGTTGATCCAGGACTTAGAAAGCAAAGCTATGGAAATCTAAATTCAGAATAAACTCTAAAAATTCAAATTATTTAAGAAGCATTTACCTAGATCTTCCAGTGAAAAAGTCTCCTTTCGTCTTGTCCCTAAAAAGGGGAACAAAGGCAAAAATCACCCTTCATTCTTGATCAGTATCTCTATTTAAAAGCCTCAAAAATCTTACATATAAAACTAAAAGACCAAATTCATAGAATTTCTTCTTAATCCTATATTAAAGGAGGATAAAAGGCTCTACAAGAGGAATTGTGACCAGATGTTCTAAAAATAATGCTTACATTTTTCTAACCCATATGGGAGATGTCATTTCTTACCACTAATATCTAGAAACATCCCTGAAATTACACAGCAAAGTATCTTACAGTGCAGTCTTACCTTTCTTCTGTAGTAACTTTACTGCAGAACTCAGATAAGAAAAACTGTGGAAGAGGATGGATGCTAAACACACAATGAAAGTGCATAAAGCTCTCAAGTGAAGTTCAATTAGCAGCATGAATCAAAGCATAACCCAAGGAAAGAGGCATCAAATCATACTTGCATATGTCAAGAGAGAGGGATACTAAACCTCTGGAGTAAATTTTCAGTGTTCACATGAGGGAAAGTTCTGATAGGAATTTATTTTCGAAACAAAAGGTAAACAAGGACCACCTATAATCTCTTCATGAAGAAACATATGTGCTTGGAGGTTTTACATGTCTGGAGTCATCTCTTTCCTATTCCCATGCCTTTCATGTATTGTCCTTTTTACCCTTAAATTTAGAACCGAGACGTGTAGGAATAAGAAAAATCTCCACAATAACCAGCACACCAGAAAAGTGATGTACAACTATTACTACCCTTTATAAATCACAAATTGACGTTTATAACATTGTATAAGTGAACCATCAATGTTTTTCATGCTGTTTGTGTCCTCTGTCTCCCTCCCAAACTCAAAATCATTCTACCTGTCTTGAAACAGACGTGTAGCCAGCATGTAGTTCATTGATGTCTTGTACTCTAAAAAGGATCTGGAAAAACAAAATACAGGATGTATCAAGGTACAGCTCATCATATTGAAAGACATTATATAGAAAAAAAGTACTCTACAAAAAACATCCAAGAACAAGTTGATTGAGACAACATGCTGTACCACAACAGAAAAGAGGAAATGAGGAGAGCTATCAACCCTTAGATGAAGTTCCTGATGAGGCAAGAGGCATGAAGAAGCACTGTACACTGGAAAGAAGAAAAAAAAAAAAGCATAATATAGAATCACTCACTCCTATATAGAGTTTATGGCCCAATGAGAAAGCACACAGGTACACAGTATATGCAGCTGTAGGATGTAAAAGCAGATAGCAGCAATAAGTTATTTAAAGAGAAGACATTTTTATTCTGATAGAAAAGCAGTATCAGTATCTATGAAACAGTGTTTAATAGCTTTCTGTAAGGTGCAATTAGAGAAAGCAGCAATAATAAACAGTAATTCTACCAAAACCCTCAGTACAATCCTGACAGCTGACCGCATTAAACTACACGTACATTACACAGAATATTCCTCAACACAAAGCATCAGTGTAATACTGAGCCATCCTGATGGATTTTGATACATACCCATACAGGTCCCATGTCAATGGGGTAGGAAATATGCGGATGAAACCTCCTCTCCGTTCATTCTCATCTCTCACTCGACGAAGAACTTTTATCTTAGAATGGAAACAAGAAAAAATATATAGCCAGCAAAATAGATGCACTGGAAAAAGAACCTTAGAAAAATCCCTCAACGTCAGAGCATAAAAATGATATCACTGCAGTCCTTGGGGTGAGCTGGGTATGCATGACATACATCCTTAGGCATTTTTATCTTGTGTTTAAATTCCACAAGAATCTCCCATGGCTGGGTTCATATCATGTATGCTTGGCACAACTGAGGGCAAGGGGCAACCCCAAGAGTAAAAGTCAGGAATTCTATTTCCAAAAAAACTGTACTTCTATCACGGTTTTCATACACATCCACTTGCTCTTTGCTGAGCAAGTTATCCCACACATGGTGTGAAAGCCAAGCTAAATAAAAGATATTTAATAGCCTACTTACCTCTTCCATGGAGAGACCCAGCATAGAGCTTCCTTGCCTTCCTGTTGCTTTTTCTCTCCCTGAGGGCATGAAGTTTTTCATTTCAGCATCACTGGCAGAAAGAGGACGGGTACGCTGCAGAGACACAGTGCAAATATAAAGCTTTCCCTTCCTCTCACAAATTTCTTAATTTTTTTAAGTTACATTCAAACAGCCAGGACTCAATTTCCAGCAGAATCTACAGTCTAGAGGACTACATCCAAAATTCAAGCTCCTACAGTCCTCTCTTTAAAGAATCTACACCCTAGTGGGTACCAAGTGTGAGTATTCATATTCCTAGTTTTAATCAAAGCAGGACAATTCAGACATCACTGCCAGTATTCACATCCCTAGCCCATTCAGGGGGAAAGCATGAGTGCCCAAAAAGCACCAAAGTCAGGATTCACACCCTCAGCACAGAAAGATCCATGCGCAAAGGATAATAAAGCCAGCATTCACATTCATAGTCCTCCAGAAAACACAGGGTTCACACATCAATGGTATTAGGAACATGATTCTCTGTCCCTGTTCTGTATTCCTAGCATGGGAACACAACTGCAATTCACTGATGAGATAAAGTTGCAGGAAAACCTAGGTCATTGTTATGCATACGTAAATACAAAATGCAAATTCAAATTCACATATGTATGTAAATTGAAAGAAAGCCAATGAGAAGAGTTGCAGAAAATAAATAATTTCCAAGAGAAATCAATCTGATAAGCTGTTGCGATGAATTATAACAAAGAACAGGAATTCAGAATATCTCCAGATTAGTAGGATTGTATGCAGGGTGCTCTGAAAGTAAGGCTTCTTACTTCCATGGATACCACAACAGATACAAAGAGTAGAAGAGCTCCATTTGGTAGAGCAGATTCTTAGCTACAAAATACTATTTTTCAACATAGTCACAGCCATTAGATACTCTTTTTTTTTTTTTTTTTTTTAAACTAGCAACTGCTGCCACTGCTGAAATGCACCACCAACCACCCCACTGTGCTCACATCCACTGTCTGGTCTCTATAAACCTTCAACAAGCATTGATAAATGTCAATGGCATCCATTTTTCCCTTGTGGAAGAACTCAGTTTCACATCTTTGATTCATCCACACTTCCATGCCAGACACCATTTTGTCAGATTGCTCCTCTGCTGCCATCAGTCACGCAGCACGGTTCAACCTCTACTGCCATACCACCACCACCTGCTTCTGATGTTCTGGGCCAACGTCATAAAACAGGAGGCATTACTTTTAGAGCAGCCCTTGTACACTCTTAAAATTCCAGCAAGACTGAAATCTTTTAACACATTCTGAAGTACATTTTAAGCTTGTCTTAAGCCCATTTCAGATGAAATGCTTCTGAAGATTAAGAAAAAAAGCATTAAAAGTTGAGCTCAGAAAGTCTCATGCCTTTATATAAAATTCAAACTACCTCTTAGCAGTACACCAAACAAAGAATGTACTAGAGAGCTTTCTTAGTTTAGAAAGAAGTGAAAAACATGACTGAAACCTTAACTGGGAAAAGTCCAATGGAATAATCCATACTGCTCAGTTAGAAAACAAACTCATGGCAACACCAGATTTCATTTTTATTTGTAAGAAGCCCTTACAGAATCAAAATTGAATTCCAGTCTCACTTCATTATAAATTGCAAGGGGCTGTTCAGAATTCACAGATGAAACAACCACAACAGCAACAAGCATTGCACTAGAAGGGGTTATGCTCTACAGTGAAGGCAGAGAAAATTTCAAAGAAAATTGACATTGCAATTTTTTTCTGAAATATGTTGTTAATCCTACTGGAAACCGGTTAAATAGAACAAGAGAGAATGAGGCAACCTAGATGAGAGGGGTAGGTAACAAAAGCGTTTGTAAAAGAAATAAAAATGTCCGTACTCAAACATGTTTGATTGATGCTCTCAGACTAATACCCTCCCACTTAAGGCCATCTCTCTTCGTAAACTTTCCTCTAAGCCAAAAGCACAGCTCTACAACTTTGCTTCAGTAATTTCCTCCTTTAATGCAGGACTCTGCTATAACACAGAAATGCCTCCAACTACACAAAATTCTTGCTTTTGACCCAGCTTATCTTTAGCAGTGTAGATAAATCCAACCACTTTGATTTAATCTCCAAATTCTCCAAGCATCTCTCATTCCCACATCATGATTTTCATTATACTAATCACTGACAGCAGTTGGCATAAAGATCTTTCCTATTCTCTGTGAAACCTCATTATTCAGTCAGATGTTTTTCTCCCAGTCTTATCTTTTCTCATAGCCTCAGCTAAACTTACATTGAATGACCTAAAATGGCAGCCCACGGAACAAATTTGGATCTCAAGACAATTCCATCTGTGCTACCTTCCTTCCTGCTGGGAAATCACAGAAAATTAGAATGAATCATCACTATTGTGCTAGCTCATGAAGCCCAGCAGTAAAATAATGCCTATCAAGTCCTCACACAGTCAGGTGCTTAGAATTATAAACTAACACTGATTCATCCATATGGATTGCATGGAGGGTGCCAAGACTATCGTACAAGGTAATGTTCAAAATGGCATTCTTTACATTGGTGAAGGAAGCTGAATCAAGTCAAGTACTTACCAGTCTGGTGTTTGTTGGTTGGCATTGTGCAGACACAGGACGCTGAAAGAAACACACAAAGGGGAAAAATAAAGGCTTGTATTCTCCAAAACACTATCATCTCTGCCTGCTATGCAGAGGAGCAGTGAGTGCCCTAAAGCAAACAAGTATAACTGAAGTCCAGAAAAATAGCTAACAGCTTCTATCACTTTGTTTCAGATCATGCTCACATCCACCACAAAAACATCCTATCCCTGTTCCAGAATACAACACTAATCCTAACTCAGACATGCTCAACAATCATTGACAATGCATCTGGACATATGCATAATTTCCAAAAGCACACACATACACACAAACAAACTCTTTAAATGGAGGAATTCAACTCTCAAGATCAAAATTCATATTTTTGTAAGATAAGAGCTACCTACGGGAAAATATCTACTAGCTATTTATTGAGAAGAAACAGATGCTGCCAAGCAGAGCTTTTAACAGAATGGATAGAGAAAAAAATAGTAAAAATCCTGACATTCCAGAAGCTTAAAGTAAAAAGCTTAAAGTAAAAAACTTAAGTATCCATACATTACTCCAATTTTTGTGGAAAAACAAAATGTTACTTAACATTCCAGCACATATGCAGAAACATGATCAGAATGTCAAAAAGTACCCAATATTACTTAAGGATTCATTTGGCACCAGGTCTACAAGCAAGAAGTATGACTGAAGAAAACTATTATCATATGAGCGTAGATTCTTCTTGCCTTTGGTGGTATTCAGGCTGTTTTTTTCCTCTTGTGCTCAAAGGTGTAAGAAAGGATTCTCAAGAGATGTATGTATCATTCGTAGTTGTGCTACTGCCAAGTTTGTTTCTATAGTTGGTCTATACAAAACATGCCACTGTTCATTTATTGCATACAATTAATTGAAATGGTTTCAGTCCAAATCAACAAGTTACAATGGAAACCACTCAACTGTTGGTCTCGCTAGAGGAAGAAAAGCTTTGAGAGACAAATCAAAGGAATTGCACAAGAAATCTGCGGTCCAGACTGGTAAAACTCATGAAACATTAGTCACTGTAACCAGCTCATGATCCAGAACACTAGTATCAGGCTTTCTTTCCCAGGAAGTGATTTTTTCTGACGATTAAAGATGGCCTATGCAAACAATTACAACTCAGAAATCCTGAAGGAATTTTAAAAAATAATATAAAGTAGTCTTTGCAAGCAAGAGTAGGCACAGAAGTATACAAGATTCAACAACATCTGACATAAAACATACGTCAAGAGCAGACACGATATTCTTGAAGCACAGAAAGATCTACAGATCTAACTACTCATGGGATTTCCACCTCAGTTCTTAAAGCAGAAAGCTATTCCCAGTAAGCACAGGTGAAGCAGACAAACATCCCAAAAGAAAATTTAGACTTATCTTGCGATCACTGATCTACCATATGAATCTTTGCATACTTCAACTGTTCAGGCCTTAAGAGCCATTTGTAGCCCTCAAGTAAAATTAATCTGTAAAACTTAAAAACTCCTGAAAATTCAATGCTTTCTAACAGCTCAATTTTCTGAGACTACAGCACTTTTTTTTTGGTTGAGGCTTTTCTGTAGTTCTACTGGAAATCCAGATAACCCCACCTACTGAAACGGTGCGAGTTGGAAGGCACCTAAAATATTATGTATTTTCAACACCCTTTCTAGGAGCAGGGACACCTTCCAGATGACATTGCCCAGAGCCTCATCCAGCCAGGCCTTGAAGACCTCCAGGGATGGGACATCCACAGATTCTCCAGGCAGCCTGTGCCAGTGCCTTATCACTCTCATTGTGAAGAATTTCTTCCTAATGTCTTATCTGAATCTACCCTCTTTTACGGTAAAACCATTATCCTTTGTCGTTTTGTTACACTCCCTGATAGTCTCTACCCTCAATTTCAGCCAAATTCAATGAGAATTACTTACTGCTACCTTCCTCAGCTCTGGCACGTTGAAGTCACTTACCTGCAGCTTCTGGTATGGGTTTCTCCTGACAGACTCTGATGAGTGATAAGCAGTCCGGCTTGATCGCTGGCCTGGATCTTGACATACAAAGCCTATGGGGATCAGGATATCAGTGAGACCTTATAGACAGATAAGCTCTGAAACACAAACCTAGCATTCCTGCTAATAGTCACATTCTGTACGTACATAAGTTTCTTGTCACTGCTTAAGTATCAAAAAAGATGCCTCTTTTTTATGCCTAGCATTGTATAATTCCAATCTTTGCACATCACATTGCGCATTGCATTTCTGGGAAAAAAAAAAAAAAAAAAAAAAACAAAACAAAGCTCACTCCAGAAACAACTACTTAAATCAGTAAGTTGGGCTGCTGAATATCACACACAGGCTCCTCCCTCAAACAGCTGTGCTGTGTACTTGATGACAATTCTATCGCTTCTAGCACTAGAGGTAGGTTGCTTAAGTACCTGAACCAAGATGTACTAACGCCTAAAGGTGCTATGCACTAAAAAGTCATGCAGTGTTCACAGTCTTGGCTCCATTTCTACAGAGCATAAACAGAACTCACACACTCAACCTCAAAGTACACATATACTGATTCTGAGCACTAAACAAAAGCCAATTGCTTAAGACAAAACAGTATGTCTTAAAATATCCAAGTATCAACTCTTAGTATCGCCTAAACACAAACAATTAGATTATTTACATGCTAAAGCTGAAATGTCCACCTATGATTTCCCAGTGCTGAACGCAGTGGTTCTCCTTAACTAGGATGTTCCTCTATTATAGTCATCTAGTAACCTAACGAGCTTTCTAACATGCAGCTCATTAACATACTTTTTATCATTTCTAGATGAGGTGAAGATTCAAGAAGCTCTTTGTTACACTCACCTACAAGGGTGAACATATCTGAGAGCATGCTTGCTTTGATCTTGAGGTCCAAAGGTGCATCACTACCCCACATACAACAGAGAACAAGCAGGATTATTTGTCTGGTATTCAATCAGAGAAATACATCAGTAGACAAGATCCACTGTGGTAAAATTTCTTTGCATTAGATTCTTAACATACATGTAATCAATATGCAAGGAGGGTCACACACATTAGGTAACCAGCAAACAGCAACAGATTCACCTAGTTTTATAAACACTTCATCTATTGATTTCTTGACGTTTACACAGCTTTTGTCTTCCGATGCAGAAATGTCCAATCTTATTTTAGTTCTGCTTATGCTACATTTCATAGAATAAGTGTTTCTGTCAGAATTCTCGGAAAGAAAAAAAAAAAAAGACAGCAATCTATTCCTTTGCCATGTAAAATCATGAAATCAGAGGGGTTAGCTCTAAATGCATGGGAAAAATCAATTAATGAAGGTGAAAGATATGAACAGATCAGATATATAGTGACAAGTGATATATATCCATAATTTTTCCAATAGACATCAATGAATAAAATTCAGATTAGACAAATGAAGTTAGATTTCTTGGGAAGCAGAAAAATCAACCACTTTTTACAGTACAGTGAGAGACAGTAACAACTTGGAGAAAAAGACTGGCAATCATAAAGCAAGGCAAAGGATGCATATACTAGTTAGAGTTTTAAAATGTAAAAATAATCCACTACGTACATATGAGCACAGACCAAAAGGCCCAGAAATTAAATACACTGGCACCTGTGAACTAAATGGGTACTGTGGAAGCTTCATTAGAATATAAAGATCAGAGTAAGGGCCAAGACAGCACTCATATTTTGGATTTCACTGAAAGAATACTAGACCAAAAATGCAACCCCAAGAATACATCTGCATACACAAGTCTCATAATGTATACACTCTGCATATGCATGTGGGAATTCGTCTGCATACACAAGTCTCATAATGGCTGAACTCTGCTTTGACTCCAAAATCTTAAAGTATCTGCTTGGCTAAACAGATTGAAATCCCACACAATAGTCTGGAGAGCTTCAAGTTTTTTTCTATGATGGGAGATTATGAAGTGTTAACAACAATGATGGACTGTAGAGGAGAAAGAATTAAAAAGAAAATGGAATCCCAACTGGGTTCTTTCAAAACCTTTTGCTGCAGTAAGTTTATTTCTGCAAAGGGAAAAGCAAATAAGTGTTCAGTCAGCTGTTACCAGTGGAACAAATACATCACAGACCTCAGGAAATCATGCTGTCCTAGGAGCACAAGTTGCAAGGCTGACCATCTTCAGCAACAGATCACAGCCTCAGCCTGGAAATCACTTACCAGGCCAGTGATGGAGATAGGTTCACTTCCAACAGCCAGGGCTTGAGAGTATCATCAATAAGGACATCAAATCCATACAGCTCTGAAAACATAGCATTATAAATTTACATTACAACACCTTTAAACATCTAGAAAAATTCAACATTATTTTATATCAGGTCATCTCTATCTACATCATTTATGTGAAATCCAGCTAATTCTCTAGGGCTGAATAAGTAAGATTTCAAAAGTAGGAAGTTTCACTCCCTCAGAATTCAAATTAAAAGTACTCTGTAAGGAAAAGAGAAAAGCAGAAAATGAGTCTAGGAAAATGTTATATAGAAAAATGAACTCTTTGCCATCCACAAACTTCAGGTCATGCCGAATTCGTTTTTACACAGAGTTTACACAGGGCTTTTTTTATTGGACCCCAGAAACAACAAAACTTTTCATCCCCACATTCATTGTTCCAGTCAGCTACAGAAAATTGTATCTAATTGTATCAGAAAGAGCATCAGCATCTTTCCAGTTCTTCCTCTATGTTTCTCTGCAGCATCCTCACAAGTATACAAGGGTGTTCTCTACAGCTCCACCAACATGGATTACCTCCCACAGCTCTTTACCTCTTTGACAGTTTCCCATTTTATAGTAAATCACTGTAGGAATATTAGCTTCTAAAATGTCTCTCTCCTTCATAACATATTACATCCGCAAGATGTGTTCTGTGCAGGTCATAACGAAGCCAGCTTCCCTTTCCAAGATGGATTTTACTGTTTTGTTCTATACACAAAATCTCTCTACTTTGGACCGAGTTGCAAGAAGACAAAGACAACTGTAAATCAGAAGTTGGCACTAATGCAGTTTTCTCTTCCAGCATTAAGAAACATATTTAATGACTCTGTGTGCAACTCATGCACATTTTTTCAAAACACTACGGAACAGGGTATTGGCAGAGAAGAAGGCTTTCCATGGAATCAACTGGTGCCTGAAGTGGAAGCCGAAGAATTTATTTGCCATGCTGCTTCCCTTAATTTCTGCTCCTGGCCTTTTGTCGTCTGCCTGATGCTCATGCTGGCTCCAGGGAGCTGGACTGCCTGACAAGATCTTCCTGAGCGGAGATCTGTATGAGAGCTCAAGTAGCTTATGATAGGAAGATAAAGAGCTACAGGGAGGGACTTGGAAGAGGAAGAAATGGCAGTAGGATTTGAGAGTGTTGCCTGCTCACTCTTCTAGACACCGTAGCCAGAGAGTGAGTAGAAAGCAAAACAGCAGAGTTAAGGAGTCGGTTCATTCCAAAGAAATGAGGCTGAATCTACATTTGGCTCTCTTGCTCCCCAGACTGGAAAGGCTGCATTGTAGGAAAAAGGAGGAGGTTGTGATTATGGGAGTAAACGTTAACAAAGCATTTTGTCCAAAAGAAACCTCTGATGCTTTTAATACGTTATTTCAAAAGACAATTCCAGGTTTAGGGAAGACCTGTGACTATTACTGCACGGTAAATTCCAGCGGACAGGCAGTTCATGCCCAAGACACAGAAGCAGTGAGTGGGCCTATGACAGCTGCTGGCCTGCAACCTCTCAGCCCCAGTCAGGAAGCAAAGCATTTTGTTTTGACTAGCTTACACTTCTTTCACTGCTGGCCATTCCCTCCCTCAAAGGACCTTTGCTAGCAATCTAGCTTCCTCTGTCTTTGTCATTCTATTTCACACCTTTCTCCCTTCCAAGTCACTTGCTTTTTAACCCTCCCTGTTTCCCACCCCAGTAAGTCCTAATTACTCACTCATCCGCCGTTACAAATACATATAGGATACCTTTTGACCTTGGCCAATCCTGACTAAACTGCTGCTGGTATTCCATTCCCTTATGGGTACCTTGTTTATCAGGACAGTAGGATCCTCCGGGCAATGCCATTGGCTTCATTTCATTGATAAACACATGTATCTAATGTCACATGCAATGCCTTCGAGTCTCCTAGTTAGACTCCACAGCCACTCCACAATGGCTAAAGTCTCCTAAGCCATATCTGCAGTACCTTTAGGGCATCAGTAGCAAATTATCATCCATGTTCTGATAAATGTATCGGGTTCCCATACTGGGCATAGCACAAAGAGTTCTCAAGTCTGGCTGAGATTAATTAAGAAGATTAATTACCTATATTCCCAATTATAGTAATGTCTCCTTGGCATTTTCACACGTGGAAAACGCACAACCTGGATTAAAAACAAAAGTAGTACCCTCTCACTATGAAACTCAAAATTACATGTACAAAAAATTTAGAATCATATAAATATAACAAAGGCCAGAAGTCTATCCTCTGAAATTATCAGTTTCAGCAAGACTGACACTTTCTTCTGAGTGAAGAAAAAGGCCAGAAGAGCCGTTGCTGCATCAAGCTTCAGTAACAGTAGATTTACAACAACTCATCTTGCACCACTGTTCTTATTAAAAAGGAAAAAGGGAAGAAACCATGATACCAAGTTTCCACAGTGCCTTCTCTCACTCCACTCACCCCGCTACTATGATCCACAAAAACATTTCATCCTTTCAATTTGCTAAATTAGAATTATATCAAGAGGTCCTGGCTATTGCCAAAATTCAGCAGGGACAGCCTCTATTCTCTCATTCCCATTAAGAGAAATCACTGCTACCAGAGCATGCCAATCCTCCCAAGAGAAGTGCTAGCTTTAGACTGAAGACTAAGAGCAAACAGTTCAGTCAGAGATAAATGTTTATTTTTTAGTCTTTAATGAATGTCATTAAAGAATAAGAGGAAGGCTTGATACATTTTCTCAAGCTTTTGGTTCTAGTAAACTACCATATAGTCAAAGTTTGGCTTATATTTCTGCCAAAGACTGCACTGGTTCTCCCTTTTAGACAATATTACCAAAGAATTCACTATTCTCTGTTAAGTCTAGCAACTAAGTCACAAGTAATAGCTTGCAGCACAAACAATGTTTTCATAATTTTGCATAGAATAAGCTCAACTGCTAGAAGGTCACTGTAACTCTGGTCCTTGTTCTCAGCTCACTCACTAGGGAAAGAGCAGCAGATTTATTGCAGAAGAGGTTTTCTATAATTTAATGGAAGCAACCTGAAGTTAGGAAGTGACACACACAGAAAAAAGTTGCAGAGTTGCAGAGTGCAACCCTTCTGCTTTTGCAACAAAGACAGATTGTCCCATTTTAAACGAGCATATCTGCAAAGACGCTCCCACTGATTTTCAGCTGAGCTCTGGATTCTACTTCATCAATCCATTAGATTATTAGATCCATTAGAGATCCATCAATTAGAGACCACTTACAGCCACAAAATGACAAGTAAGGAGAACAGTGCCGGGACAGACTAGCTCCTACTGAGCTATCACTAGAAGACATACTGCTCAAATGTTTCTTACCATTTAGTTGCAAGCTGATAGTTTCAGTCAAATTTGAAGATACACATATACTACAAAAACTACCTTAGTACATTATAATCATCATTAGGAGATCCATCCAGGATGGTACAATACTCCTGAGACTGATGGGAGGCAGAAGATGCTGAGGACAATCTTCTTCAGATTCAAAATGGCATCTTTACATACTGGCTCTACAGCAAAGACTGGCAGCAAGGAAATAAAAGCAGAATGGATTAAGCTTCACAGAAAAAGAATACGTGTGGGGAATAGTTGTTCTGCTCTGGCTTTGTCATATACCTTAATCCAGTTTCAGAGATGAAAACATATGCACGTGGTATATGTAAGGCTGGCCTAAGCTTCCAGACAGGGACTTTCCTAGAATAATGTCAAGCAAGCGTGCACAGAAATTCCTTAATAATCTCAAATTTTCATATCCTTCAAAATTCTTCAAAGATGAGGCCAGCACCATTCAATGCTAAAAGTTGTTAGCACTCTCCCAATTGCTACTGCTAGGAAAACCAAGAGTTCACAAACAACAGTAGTGTAGATGGTTGAAGACTGGTGATTAGAAATGAATAAAGACTTTAAGTATTTAACTCACCACACAAGTAGTACAATGATTTGCCTGCTCTATCCTATCTTGATATAAATGAGATTTAGAAGCATAAGTATGATCAATTCAGCCTTAGAACAAAGTAGAGGCTAAACAGGACATTCAGTGCCTTGCTGGGATCAAGAAACACGTACATTACTCTACCCTGCCTTGCCTTCTTGAATGCACAAGTGCTCAACAGTGTCACTGCTGAGTTGACCAGAGCTGGGAATGAAACAGAGGACTTAATGTTTTGCTTCTCCAGGCTCGTATGTCACTACACAGGATGCTGGTATGAGTAAATCCTGCACACAGGCACTTTCATTTCATCCACTACTAAACAATCCTACATAGAGTTTTCAAATTGCCTGAAAACAGCTCTCACTGTCTTTTCTAGTCCACCCTGAAGTGCCTACACCAGAAGAGAACAAAGCAGTCTTTAATCTGCTTGAGCTCATGTATCCCCATTGCACCTCCTCTTCACACTGATATATCATGTCTTTCAAAGTCAGTGCAAAATCCAGTTTCTACTTGAAGAAGGCTCCACCAGTAACCAATAACTGAACTGGTTAAGAGTTTTTACCTGCAGCTTAATTTTAAATAAGGAAAAAAAAAGAGTGCTGAGTTCACGTTGTTATTACAAATGCATGAAGAAGGCTGCAAGAAAGCCATGTAGTACTTCACAACTTTATGATGCAATTCAGAGGAACAAAACTACTCAGCATCTGAAGACCTCTGAGAACCAGTTATTAGTAGAGTGCAGTTAACAGCTCACACTACATGGCTAAAAGGGAACTGACTACAATCTTTCTGCAAATATTCAGCAGCACGCCACTTTGACATTAGAATCATTCTGACCTACCACTCTCACTTTCTAGGCAAGCAAGGGTAGCTGGAACCATACAGACTGTCTCACCAGCCTTGTTTTAGAACATGAAGAAGCCATGAATGGAGTCTCTTCCCTTTAATCTATAAGACAAGTATATCACATTAAAAATTTACTGCGGGAGTGAAGCATCACAGCAGGAGATCTAAATTATTACAGAAATAAGAGGAAAGCCTAATCTAAGCAAATTAAGTACTTATGACACAATTTTTAATCAGGAAGGTGGTAACTGTGCTGGAGTCCTATTTCCCACAACAGCATTACAAGTACTGGAATAAAATACACATCAAGTTACTCATGTTCATCGATAATATTTTGAAATAAGGCCTACCTCTGTATCTGTCCTTCAGATACTTGTTTTATAAGTGTGAGGCATTCTTTAAATTATCAGTCTCTCTCAGGACACACATGCAGTTTCATTGTTTGCAGCCCAGAGGGAATTAAAAGGCTCCTGGGAGCCTCTGCATGCTAACTCGAAATCTTCATTCCCAGTTTTCTTCCTCATGTTAACAGCTACTAATTCAGCCATTCTGAACATTTCCAGCTAGAACAACTGCCTTTTTTGTTGGTTTTTTTTTCAACACAGTCAAAAGTGGCACAAACAAAGTGACACAGGGATGAAGAAAAAGCCATACAGCATGACAAGGGAAGCTCAAATCCTTGGGACAAGGACCACCACTTAATTGCAAGGGAAGGTGGCAGAAAGTGTAGAGCTCTGGAAATGCCTCAGGCTCCCTAGGGAAGCAGCATGGCTCCTACTTAAGCTCTCTTTCCTGGGAAGCTCTAAATTTATGTTTACATTGAAACAAATGGAACAAAACAGTTTATTTGTGGGGGAGCATCTGAGAGGGTGGTTAGCGCAGCCCTGGGGAGGCAGCAGGAAGTGGAATAACCTCAGAGCCAGGCCCAGCAGAAAGTACATGAGGAACACGAATTTCCACATACACAGCTTGCTGGAGTCTAGAGACACAACAGAGAGGAATATAGGAGGAAAAAAAAAAAAAAAGAGGTAGTTAAGACAGCTTTTTGTTGTTTGTGTTTTGCTTTTTAATCCAGCTGTTGATGTTTCTGGAATAGATTCTGGAGAATTACTACTTCACTAAAAAGACCTAACTCAAGTCCCCATGTATGCCAAAGCTCTCCAACTTTGAACAAAGACATCAGAGCTACTTTGGGGAAGCTAAGGTAACTTAGCAGGTCACTAACATATCAGCCACGTGTCCTTGGATTTTCGCCACCCCTAAGAATCCAAAGATGACAACATTTATATTAGAGTGTAGAAAGCTATACAACAGTAAATACCCAAGTGCAATGCAAAGACCACACAAATGGAATTACCTGTCACAGCTAGTTTAAACATAAGGCCCAACAGCTAAACACAGAAACTGAAACATTCTAGAGTCTTCTCCCCTGCCCCAAGACTGCTCCCTTGTGTGTGCATCTGCGTGAGCTGAGGGCAGCTAAGAGCAGGAGGAGGCCTCTTCAGGGAAGGTTGGGAAGCAGCCACTGGAAAGCAGGAGAAGGCACACTGTGGTACCAGCCACTGCTTTCTGGACCTCTTCCCAGCATCTGCTGCCAGCAAGTTCTCAAAGCTCTTTGCCAGCACATAGTTCTGCATCCAGCTACTGCCAGAAATAGGCTTCGACGCCGCCCTGCGGAACTCTCACACAAGTACAAGCCCAGAAGCATTACCACCACTGTCATTCCAGGAACTGCATTACACATCTCTTCTTTAGCCATCAAACCCCTGTAGGACTATAAATCAGAACTATATCAAGCCATCTAGCCCAACAGAAAGTATTAAGTACTCTGAAGGGAGTATTAAGTACTCTGAAGCTATCCTTTGCAAGGGCTAGTGGGTCAGTTATTTCAACTTTCCAGCACTTCTCCAGTTGCCTTTCATATCACTTTTCATTATCCTCTTTTTTAGTATGAGACTCTCATGAATGACACCGGCACAGCGGCAATTGCAATTCAACAACCTCTGGCCCCAGAGGCCTATAGCGAGCTGAAAAACAGAATCAACTTCCTTGCAATAGGAAATGCAAGCACTGGAAAGATGCAACTTTCAAACAACAGTCAAAAACCAATCAACACAGATGTCACCAGTTCCTTACCAAAGCAGCTGCCACGATGTGAAAGAAAAGTTTTACAAGCTGTAGCTATGGCCTGCTCAGCAGATACTACAGTCTTGATAATCAGGTCTTCCACACTGGCCATCAGTGCTGAACAGAAGGAAGAAGGGGAGAGAAAAAAAAAAGTAGATTGTGAAGCAACGCACCATATCTAGAAAAACATGAATATTTAGACATCAGACAGATATCTTTGTGAACCAAAGTTCATGAGAGCATATGAATGGCAAAGCAATCTTTGGAAGTCCATGCAAGCAGTAACATATGCATGCATACATAACCTACTGCAAAAATGGTCACAAGTGAGTATGATACAAGAGTATAAGTACAATGCAAGTAAGCAGAAACATGTGGCAAGCACATCAGCACAAGTCAGCTGGAGTCTGATCATTGCTCTCTCAGGGCATTAGGAAGGATTAAGCGAGAGTGTATTAGCAAGGTAAGCCTTTAAACCACAGCCACTAAAGTACAAAATATTTTTTTGTTGTGGAATTCCATGTAATACATGTTCCATGACATTGCACCTTCCTCTAAAGTAGCTGTTCCCAGACTAGGACTTACAAATTTCTTCAAAATGATATAACTATTGACAGCTCCCAGTCCTGTCTATAACCTGCAGCTTCAGTTACAAAGCTCTCTCTGGCTCCTGTATAAGCCCACAAACAGAGCTCAGAAATACGAAGCAGAGTCAAAACAGGGAGCAAAAGGCAGGAAAAGATGCACATTAGATACAGACCTGGATCCTAAACTCAGTTTGGGATCAATCATGCAACAGAAAGAACATAGTTTCTGTTTTCAAGGACAAACAACAGAGGAGTAAGAGGAGGGGGGAAGGAGCAAACATTAGAGTCCTAGTCTGACAATCTATAAGGATGATAGCATAACCTCTCTCACCCCTCAAAGGGAACACAAGCAAACACATCAAAACCTCCAGCAAACCCACGCAAATATTTGGAAATCCCTGTCCCAAAAAACATCCAGTACCAATTGACTAAAGAGTTTGATTTAGACATACAATTACTATTTTTTGTGTTTAGCTGATGACATGCAGGGACCTGAATGAGTATGCAAGCAAATTCAGATGTCAGCCTCTCTGTCACAGGAAGCCTAAGTGGAAGCAACAAAGCATGGGAATGTAAGTGCACATAAACATCTCACAGCACAAAAAACTTGCCAGCCCAGACAGAATCAGCACTTTCCAGCCAGAGTTCTGCCTTCCTAAGACCAGAACCAGATACATCAGAGAAAGGTGCAAGTAGTTTTGTAACAAGAGTTACAGAGAAGCCTGCTCACATTGCTCAGCATTTTACTCAAGAACACGTCTTTTACTTGAAGAGGGCAGTGGAACAGGACTTATCAATATTAATAACTACATCTACAGAGCTGACTGAAAATGTATGGTATAAGTAATCAGACATACTCGTGATGGGGAAAAAGTCTACTTCCATCTGAAAGCCAGATTCAAGCCCCTTCCTACACCTTCTAAGTGTTCCCTGGCAGCAGTTACAGGATGGGCAGAGCTGCTATCAGTAGTGTAACTGATGGCTCAGTGTCACAGCTAATTTGTCACTTAAATGATACACCTTGATTCTGCTCTGCATATGCATTTACTCCCAGCAGACCTGGCAAAGGTGGGGAAGAGGGAGCAACTTTATATGAAACACAGACTGAAATGAAAACACTCAGCAAAAACCTGAGCCATGGAAAGATGACACCACATCCAAGATCATTCAAACTGGCACAGCTCTCCAGAGGTTGGTCACTCATCAGACTGAACAGGCCATGGGAGCAGTAGAGGGAGGGAAGCTTTTAGAAGGGATGGAATGACCTTAAGAAACGGGAAATGTAGGTAAAAATATTAAGAAACACACCCTGTGAAAAGCTCAGAATACTACTTGCAAAAGGGAAGGAGACAGGCCTTACCTCTGGGGATAGGACTCATCTCTAGGGATAGAGAATAAGTGCACAACTCTAGTGAGAAAGCTGTAAGTAACGACGTTTCCCTCCACCCTGCTCTGATGCTAAATGGGATTCATTATGGCTCTTCCCTGACTTCTTACAATTCGCCCTTGTGGGATGATTAAGATCTAATAAAGGAATAAAACAATACAATCTCTACTGACCTGCAGTGTCTCTCCCCTCTTGTTTTAAGTACCTCAGCATTGCGCTCATGCTCCACTTATTTCCATAATCTTCCACTTCAGGATCATCACAGCTAAAATAAACAAGTTAAGTTTACACCAATGGCATAACTGAGGACTGGTACCAAACTTAGACGGAGGTAAGCTGACCCAGCTTCTAGAAATTAAGTTCCATTTTTCAAGTACCTGACATAATCTCCACTCTTCTTGTTGACACTGTAGTTGGTCAGATGCATAAATTGGTTTTTAATGTTCTTCGATGCCTGGTCATACCTCACAGTTGCAAACCTGAAAAGAGAGAAAGGATTTATAATGTTTCTGGAATGAGCAATATGCTTGCTAAATACAATCTATTACACAGACCATTTGACTCCAACATCTAGGGAGAGGATGTAAGCAACATGACTTCATCAAATGCAACCTCTCTTGACCAAAATAAAATAAAATACAGTTTAGGGCCACATTCAGACACATTTCATCTATTTTTCAGTGTCTTACAGCAGGAAGCTCAATTTCTTCTCTTGGGAGTTTTCCAGACCTAACAGTATGCGTGCTAGACACGTTTTTTTCTTGGCTGCTTCAATTCAGGCCACTTAGCTTTATTGCCACAGCCCCTCCAATTTCACATTTAGAGCTACCATGAACATGTAATATCCACCAGTCCCGGGAAATGCATACACACATATAGCAGGTATGCTACATGTGCATATTACAGATAATATTCTATGAAGTCTCTTATAAACACAGCTGAGTTCTTCTGTACTCCACAGAAGCCTTAGAAAAGGAATAGACTTCAATCTCTGCTGACTGTAAATCCTACAACTGTCAATCCTCTTTCTCAAGAATAAGTAAGGAAACGAGGGACAGAACCTGCAGACCAGATCAATTTGCCCAACAAGGCAGCATCTGCTCCAGGGTGTCGGGGACTATGCAACCCTTTCATATCCCAAAGATGCCATCTGACTTGCGCAGGAGGAAAGGACAAATGGACTGCAATCAGCAGCAAGTCACAGAATCACAGAAGTCACTGCTATCTCATTCAGCTCGTTAGTCTGAACCCTGTTACAGTCAGCAATACCACAGTTTAAGCAGCTTGTTTTTCTATCTACATCAGTGATGACTTTCTAACTAAAAGGCATTAATTATCTGTACTGCAACCAAGTAATCCATTAACGCCCTCTTAGCCATACCTTGTCATCAGAGATGTTTGCACTGAAATTAACCAAAGAACTGATCCAGCTGAAAAGGACAGATTTTAGCTGAAGAGATTGTTTTTTATTTTTTTTTTATTTTGCTTTTGTTCTGGGAATGAAGAAGCAGAGAGAACAGTAGAGCACATAACTACAAATGGAGTCAGTAAGAATTTTTTTTTCAGTAGCCATACTCTCTTTGCTCAGCTACTCAGCTTCACTTTATCTGCACTGCTAAAAGAGTGAAGAGTGCCTGTCACTGCACAACATGTCACCTAAAAACAGCTTTTTTGCGCCGAGCTGTTAGCAAATCAGATCAGTTCACCATGCAGAAAGGCTTGGGGTAAAAGAACACAAGGGACAGCACTTGCTCCGAATGCGTACAGGAGTAAAGGCACAAAACTGCATTCAATCTTACCAAAGCATGCTTGTTTAGGAAGAAGTTGACTGAATGCTGAAACAACAGATGTGTCTTGGGGAGGGAAGGGAGCTTCCCACAACCAAGCTCTAGTACAGCTGTCCAGGCTACTCCTCCATCATAGCTCATAATGTGCAGCCAGACGGGAAGTGATCACATACCTCTATCAGGAAAAGATGCAAACAGCAGCCAGGAAGAGCGCAGGACTGTTTCTCCTGACGGCTATGCCAATTTAAAGCCCTTAAAATTGCATCTTGGACAGAAGTCACACTCTAAACATGTAGCTGCACGATCAGCCTTTGTCAATCTAAGGATATACTGCACCTAAAAGCTCAGTGCCTGCTGACATGCATGTTCCAGCCAATCTCCTTGATTCCTTTCACAAATTGTGCAGCCACAGGCAAGTCAGATAAGTTCACAGATCTGACAGAACACTTGAGCAAGTATAGAAGGATACCAATTAACTTTCAATCAGATACAGACACACTTTCTTCTGGGTACGATAAAGGAGGTTGTTAGGATGTACAGTCAGAACACAGAGCGGTGTCTTCACTTTAAGAACAGCCATTGATTAACTTGAAATAAAACAAATATTAAGCAGAGGATAATACCATTTGTGGCCACGTTGGTAACATTCTAGAACCACATGGACCTGCCATCAACTGCAAGGAAATAATTTTCTTATCCTTTATGTCATTAGTTTCTTTTTCACGATATACTTTCAGCCTCAGATTTTTGATAAAATATTTTAAACAAAGGCTCAAGAACAGAATCCAGACCATCTGACTGGCAGAACTATCAAAAAGAAGGAAAACAATCAACAATCCCACATACCCCAAATTATCAGCTGACCATAAATAAATAAATAAATAAAAGCCCATCCAAAATAACAACAAAAATCCCATACCTCCATATTCTTCATTCCAGCTGTTCTCCTATACTACTATAGTTTAAGAATTTAATATCTCAGAAGAGATAAAGGGCAAAAAGGTAAGGTAAAGTGGAAGTAAAACATATGCTACCCTAAGAAGAGTAGCACGAGTGAAAGAAAGCACCAAGCCAGAAGACCAAGTCATTTCCAAGAGAGGAACAAAAAATGGAGGAGGGAGAAAGGGAAGGGAATCTGGAGAATCTGGATGCACAATGAATTTGAAAGAAAAAAAAAAAAAAAAAGGAACTCCCTTCACTTTATTAATGCCATCTCTCTTTATCTTTCCCTTATTGTTCTCCATAGTTCAGAAGAAACTGAAGTACACAAGAATATCCAACAAGTTGCACAATAATCTTTTCTTTAGAAAGAACTGCCAAAAACCTCACTTCTCAGTGAAACTGAAGCCACCAATGCCCTCATTTGACAGCCATTTTGAGAAATCTCTCCAGAACAGTACAAGCAAATTCATAAAGCAAATTATGCCATAAAATTTGACATAATTTGTATGCCAAATTAAACTTATTTTTAAATACACAAGTGGGAGCAGAAAAAAAAAAAACCTTCATGAGGCAACTGAGTGGCAAGCTTAAAAAAAAACAACAGCATAATCTTTCACCATATTTCTCTCAGCTTTAACTGTACATGAAGTTAGAGCAGTTGGCAACAGAAACTAGCTGGGAAGCTTGGATTCCTTTTCCACAAATTTCCACAGCTTAAAATATTAGCATTTCTCTTCAGTTTAACTGTAAGTTTCCTGGATTTAGCTCTTCTGCTTTGAAAATACTAACAATCCTGTTATGTATTTGATTCTTAATCTTCATCATTCCACCTTAACAATCACCTTTTAGCAGCATACTGAAAGCACCTGTTGGTAATACACTTTCAGCCAGGTCCTGGAAGACAGCATAGGCAACAAGCTATTTCAAAAAGTCAGGGCTCCTTCAGTACTTTCAAGCAGTGCACAATTAGTTTTACTGCACTTCTGTTGCTGTCATTGCTGTCAGCTATGTATGTAACCAGAAACATGCCGATATCAACCCCTAGCAGATAACTTCTAAACAGCAGTTTGTTAACTTTGCAAGCCTTGCATTAACTTCCTTCTGCTGAGACCATCCTGATTCATTAGTTGGTCTGAGTAGCATTCCCTAAGACAGATGTTACCATAGGATTTACATTTCCATAGGAATTGATGATTCAGAAGAGATTCCAGTGTACTTGTATTGTACTGTATGTAAGTACAGTACTGGCAATAGCCCAAACCTCTTACAAGAAATCAGCACTTGCTTGGAATGGCAGAGCATTACTATCACTAGTTATAATTACCTTCACCACTTTACAATTCCACAGCTTTTTATACAACACATCATTGCACTTTTCTTCCAAAGCAGTAACAAGGCTAAAGTAACAGTAAAGTAACAAGGTAAAGCACCTGCTGCACTTGGTCTCTCTAGGAAAGAGACTTGTATGCTACAGAATGTCTTGCTTCAACAAAAAATCAGAAATTTTTAGATACAGTAAGGTTAGAGGAACAGGCCTGTAAGATTGGAAAGCAGGAAAAATTCAGTGTTTGTAAAATCTTCTTGCAAAACCTCCTGAGATTAGAATAAACTTTTATTAAGTCTTTCAGTCTTTTAGAGGATGATCAAGCTTCTGTCCACATCATTAAAAAGCACCAGTAACCCTTTATAGACCCAAACCTTGAACATTTATCAACTAAAAGAGCCAAGATCCTATAACAGTTTAAAAACTATATGGGAAGGTGTCACAGAAAGTCTGATATTTTCCCTGTAACACAATTTGCCATAAGCACATGCTGCAACATTCTGTACAAGCTGTTTTCCTAAGCACTAAAGGCTCCATGCCCAGGTATCTCATATTACTATAATCCAGCCAAACAGTGATGAAGGCACAAATAACTGAAGCCAGGTCATCATCCGCCCGGATAGGACTGTTTCTTAGCCAAAGTATTACTGGTAGATGCTGCTATGTGGGAGCCTGCAATCAGCCAGGAATCCAAGAATGCTCTGAAATTACAGCCCAATGTATCCACACAGGGAGGCACATCTTCAGCCAAAGGAGGCTATTTTATCACAGGAAAATCTTCAAAGATGCCATCTTGTGCTCACTACCACCCCCCACCCCCTTCTTGCTCTGTTTCAGCTCACTGTTATTTTCACCCTGTTGTACCAATCCTATCCAAGCCAGGAACTACACAAAATGCTTTGTGTGTTAAAGAAAGCCAACACACTCGCTGTTCTGTATTGCTGCTAGGTAAACCTGTGTGTCCTGAGTGGTTCAACTGCTAAATTCACACTGCTTTGAAGTCTTAAAGAGGATTTTCCTGTAGGACTTCTTAAAAAAGTCTAGGAACAGGTGAATTTTCCACTATTAATTAGACAACACTGTCACTTCAGTGCAGTGCAAGCAGATATGCTATTTCTTCTATCTCATGTAAAACATAAGTTCTTTCTGCTAAGAATATGAAATCTTATAGAGATGATCAAAAATGGAATTTATGCTGTTCTACATCCACCATCAAAAGGATATCTGCTCCGTTTTGGTTTGAACTCAAATTTGTTTTCTCCATAACAAAGTTTCTTAAGCACAAATTTTCATTTGACAATGGTTGTTGATGGGGGATGGAAACAGACAGGAAGAAGGAATAGTTCCCTATCACAGCACTAGCCTGGGTCACCTCTGTGCTATGTACTGTGGTGCTTTCACACTGGCAGGTAGCTCAGCTCTACCA